TTGGTAAATAAAGAAAAGTTTGAGGACTTATGTGTAATTTTTAACATTTGAAGTTAAATGAAAATTTACCAATCAAGGAAGGTTAGATTTTGTAGAATAGGAGATATACATATGAAATTTATTATTACATGTAAGTTATGTTGTGCAAAAAGGAAAAAATTTAGTGGGGGACACATGGGACCCCACCATGTGAAGTAAAAGAAAGAATAAGATTAAAATTTATTTACATGCCTTGTGATTGGTGCATTGGTGGCCAAATGAGGGAAGAAAATGGTGGATTGCATGTAATTTGAATGGGTCAAAAAATGACTAAATAAAAAAACGAAGTAAATGTAGTGCATGGAATAAAGTAGTCAAGAAAAACAAAAATGAAAATGCAAGTGGCGGTAGAAAGATTTCAAAAGCTTTTGCTTTTTAATTTTTCCACACAAAGTGCAAGGAAGAAAAGTCAAAAAAAGCCATTAAGTTTTAGGCAATCCGCCTATGCAAAGAAAGTGAAGAGAAAATAATGAAAGTGAAAGAATAGTCAAAAAAGCTTTTGACTTACAATTTTAACATGTAAAGAATGAAGAAATTGCAAAAATAACCAAGCTTGGACAAGCAGACCATAAGGAAAGAAAAGGAAGAAAATTTGAGTGGTGGGGCAATTAGGAGAATCCACTCACACTAAGGAATGGCAAAATATCTTGCCTTAGAAAAAAATCCCGCACCTTTGGAAAGAACAAGAGGAGTGTCGGTTGGGAGCAAAGTGAAAAAGGGGGAAAGGAAGGAAGGACGAAAGGAAGAAGAAGGAGGAAGCTAAGAAAGGTTTGGTCAAGTAGAATTATTGAGAAAAGGGTAAGACAATTGTGACTTAATTCTTGAATTTTTATACCAAATGATTGTGGGCTAGAAAGAATTATTATAAAGGTTGTGAGATTTGTTGTGTGAGGATGTAATATTGAAGAAAATAAAAGATAAGAATTATGCATGCGTAGATTTAAGAATTCTTTGGTAAAATTGCTACCGTGTATGATTGTATAAGCATGGAATTAACTATGAATTTGGGTAAGAAAGTTGTTGGTTAAATTACTGCCATGTATACATATAATTAAGTGAATTGGGTTTGGATGGTTGCTAGGAAACGTATAAGTAGAGGAAGTGTGCTAGGGTGGCGTGTTGGACGAGATAACCAGCGACCAACACGTAGTATTAGTTATTTACGTACCTAAATTAATAGCAACGTAGTATCCTGTTATTGTGAGGTGAGTAGGGGGTGTCTATTTTAAAAATTCCCATAACTATGTAAATATATATATGTGTTGATTTATGTTAAATACAAAATTGTGAAAAGCATGAGTTGGTAGAAATGCTAGAAAATTGTGGATGTTATGACTTTGAAAATGGCTTTGAATATATATAAGCTATATATATATATATATATATAATATATACGTAAAGGTTTTTGAAATCGAGAAACAAGCTTTTTAATATGATTTATATCAAGTATGTGCCTTATAGTTTGTGTGATGTGCCTTCATGATTGAAACACATATCCACCATGCTAAATGATCTTTCAACCTCATGCAAAGAGTTTATATTTTAAAGTCTTATAAGGGATCTTATCATGTTACTACGTGAATATTTTGAAAATGATGTTGAAATGAACTTTTGAGAACCCAACTATATTTCAAAATAGTTTTATCAAACAAAGAGATTCGAGAGTAGGTCGGTTGTCACTTCGGTTAAGTGTAACTTTTGTGCACAAGTTAACTCTAGCTAGAGAACTTTTGGATCGCCGATGAGCTGTTAGACATGGATTGGGCCATGGTCCATGATTGTACGTGGTTAGGCCACAAGTTGTGATACGCGGTTGTGACCGCCTGATTTCTCTGATGTCGGCCAACATCGTTGAGATTGCCATGACATTTGAGGATCCGGTGGAGCGAAGCTCTCGAATGTTATTACTTGGAAGTGGGTCCACATGTTTTTATTTTTATTCCTACTCGAGAGTGATATCTCTATAGGTTTTCATGCACGTGGTTTTTCGCATGGTGAGAAATAATGGTTTTCCCGCAGCTCCCTTACTTACACGATGACATTGGATTTAATTCCTCGTGTACGAGGTGATTTATGAATTTGCATATAAACTTTGTTAATGTTAGATTTTACTGGAGCATGCGTGACAATATTAAATTGCTTTAAGTCAATTGTTGACTAATTTTGACGGCAGAAATCTTTGCATGAATTGGTTTGACATTTGATTTAAATGACTATTTTGCATTAATTTACTTATTTTACATATAAGGCACAAACCTCCCTTTTGAGTTAAATTGTTTACATATATTCTTATAGTTTTAATATTCAAATCTTTTGCCTTTAACTTGTTTCTCATCTACGCCCTACTCACGGGGTTGATGATCACTGAGTCTGTGAGACTCACCCCCCTTATTTCCTTTTGCAAATAAGTAATCAGTTCAAGTGCATTGTTCAGCACCTTGAGGTTGACTGCAACCTAGGTAATGGCATCTCTTAGACTTTCACTCTAAGTCGTTGCGCTACCTAGAGGTCAGGTTGTGTCAAATAGTCAGGCTTATAATGATTAATAGTTTATTGGAAATGTATTTGCTAAAACTTAAGGTTATGTAATGATTACTACATATTATGTTGAAATTGTGTGGAGTTATCAAACCTGGTTATTAGTATCTAGATGCCATGTTTTAAATATTGTGATTATTTGGTTTAAGTGAACCATGGTGTTTAAATTGTCTAAAGGCTTAACAAAGGCTTGTTCCGGATTTGGCGGTTCACTCGCAAGTCTCGAACGCTGGTAATGATCGAGGGAAGAGGTTGTTACAAAGTGGCCGACTTTGCCTTTGATAGATTCTTTTGACATCCGGTAGGTTCCCTATCCAATAAGTCCACTCTCATAAGTCCGAATTATGTTAGCTTCCGTTAGTGGCATTGGTATTCGGGACTTGTGTAGGCATGATGTTGTCATTTATATTTGTATAAGAGTTGTATGATACGAACCTGCTATGATGACCAATGCATGGCTTTATGAGAAATTTAGTAAGTATTGTGTATGAACTATGTGTTAATGAAATATTTATGTATTTGACTTTAATATTATGTGAATATATGAGATTGGAAATCCTTGGCAATGTAAATATGTTTTGAAATTCTAAGGCTTGCTCAAGTCTCGCGAGCTCAGCCTACAAGGCTCGTGCACTGGTCACAGATCCCTGGGTTTGGGTCGTGACACACACATAGAAAAACATAAAACTTAAATAATAGGGTAAACTACACAAACCCCCTCAACCTTTGATCATAATTATATGCAAATCCATCAACTTTCAAAATAAACAGTCTACCCAAAATGAATATCTTTCACTGGACACATAAGTCTAATTGTTAGTCAACCGTTAATATTTCCATTAATTTGAGATGTGGCACTATTAAAAAGACAATTTTGCTCTTCAATAATTTTAAAAATTTCCAAGTTATAATTTTTAAAGAAAATAACCCTTCCGTCAATCAACTACCCTGCAGTTGAATTTGGCCGAAGAGTGTTAAATCCGACGAATCTAAAACACCATGATCTAGTGCTCCCTGACCACGAGGTAGCCCCGATCCTCCTTTGAGGAGTTTGATTTAGTGCACCCAAAGGGGCCCAGGGAACTATGTTCGCTTCAGAAAAAAGAAATGGGTGAAAATAAAAACCAAAGGCATTGTAGACATTTCATGTTTAACATTAATGTCGTTTACGCATTGGGGCTTAAAGCAACAAACAATAGCGGAATGTCATATGATCTGAGAGAGATTAATAAGTGTCAGGAGGCCCAAGACATGGGCGTGGAATCATTAAGACCAGCCAAGCACTAGTGAGACCAAGAGATCAAAAGAGTGGCAGATTAGTCCATAATAAATGCCAAGGAGACAACGCATTCCAAAGAAGTTGGCACAAGTCAAAAGTGCACAAAAATAAGATCATTCGCGGCAAAGACATGCAAAAGGACGACCGTGACATAACAGTGCACATAGACATCGTTGGGAGAAAGTCACGACCCAAGAATTCAAACCCACTTGGGTCCATCAAGCAAGCTAGACAACCCACTAGGCCAGACAAAAAACCTAGCTTACATACTATAGGTAAAAATGTCTGCACACCTCTAGAAGTGTTTAATTTAATTTGAATTCTTAGATTTACTAATATATATCTAAATTTAAATATAAATTTGATTAGATTATATTAAAATTTAATTTGGATATTATCTCCTTAAATTAAATTCTTTACTATTATTTTTATCTTTATATATTCTATCTAAATGAGGGATGCTATTAGCTTACCAATACCCCGCACTTCATTTGTAACACACAAGTTGAGAAATAACACTTCCATTTCTCTAAAGCTATATTTTCTTCCTTTCTCTCTTTTGCTTTCGTTGTTTTGTGGGTTTTGAGGATCCCTTATACTCGATTTTCAAAGTTTAAGATCACATGGAGTTGGGTTGAAATCTCAACACATGACACATGCATGACCTTAAAATCTAAATAATATTTTTTGGTTTTGTACCGATTATATCCAAGAAGTTAGCAAGGAAATTCTCGTCCCCATGGAGATTAACATGTGAGGATGGGGACCAAGAGCAGTCCTTGAGTAATGGTGAGTAGAGATCTAAATTTCGATCGTAGTCACATTTTTTGTTTTGTCGTGAGTTTTGCAATTGTAGATATAACAGATGAGAAAACAGTAGTTATGATTTTTTTTATTTACTTTTATACAACTCACCCTAGAATAAAGTAAATAACAATTGTAAACATGAAAACTCTTGTTTTATGATATTTAAATTAGTTCAAGATATTTTAATTTTTGCTTATATGATAAAATAATTTTTACTTTTACCTCGATTGAAGCATAAATTTGTTGTGGTTTGGGATGGGCTTTTGTTTCTATTTTGGTCTAAATTTGCCTTTTGCTTTGATTAAAAGTATATATATTTATATGCTACTATTTGTGGCTGAAAGGCATCAGAATGAGTGTGAATCGCTTCTCGTAGCAATTCCAGAGGGCACCGCTACCGCCTCACTTACCATCGCCTGGCCTTGTCATTTTAATCAATGAAGTTTATTTATACTTTCCCAAGATAAAAGCAAATCAAAAGACAATTATTGCTTCCCCTAATTTATTTTTCTCCTCCTTATGACTTATGAGAGGGAAGAAAGGGTGTCCGAACTGCAGCAAGATGAGGGAAGAGTAAGAGGGCGTGGGTGAATGCATTCCTTTAGTCGATGCCCTGCATCTTCCTAAACATGATGAGAAATTCATAGACCTTTTCGGGGTCTGGAAGAACTTTGGCAACAGTCTCTCTTTGCATGCACCTCTTCATCCAAGCTGAGAATTTGGGGCACTCATCCTCCACCTTAAAGTTCCCAAACTTCTCAATGGCGTAGAACCAGCTTGTTAGAGGGACTGCTATGATGTCCACAAATCCAAATGTATTACCACCGAAGAAAGCCTTCTCCCCTAAGGCTTCCTCTAGCTGCTTCAAAATCCCTATGACCTCCCTTTTAGCTTCCTCTGGTGCCTCCCCTTTGCTTCTCCATATATTACAGCCTGCATCAAATACCTGACGTACAAGAAGTAAACTTGCTAGAAGTTAATGTTGTGTTTTTAGTTTTAATCAATCATCATAAATACTAAGCCACGTAAAGAAGTTATCTACCTTTTTGTCAATAAAGTCAGCCCAAAAGCGTGCCTGAGCTCGCCCATATGAACAAGGTGGGAGCAGCGGAGGTGAAGGCCAGGTCTCGTCAATGTAGTTAACAATGATAGTTGACTCACATAACGGTTTGGCTTGGTGCAGCAACACCGGAACTTTCTTGTAGACGGGGTTTGAGTTGAACAACAAATCGCTCTTGCCCCGAACAAGTCCTCCTCTCTGGCTTCATATTCTAGGCCTTTCTCGGCTAGTGCTATCTTCACCCTCATGCAAAATGGGCTAACCCAGCAGTCGAGAATAACAAGCTCTTCCCTTGGCATCTCCTTAGTATGACTAGGCGTCTCTATTCTCCTTATTTTGGAGTAGAGAAATGTGTAAAATTTGTCAAATTTATAGAGTAGAGGCTTCCCTCAATGACGAGCTTATCCAAGTTTTGCTCTTCCAAAAAAGTTTTCTTGGTATGCCCCTCCAGAAAATGCTAGCTCCTAGTGATTATCATTTCACTATTTTGCATTGCCATTGGTTTTATGTAGTGAAAGCTGTATGTGCTGCATATGGTCACAAGGTTTGTCTTTCAGTACATTGGACGATAGCCATTAGCAAGAAAAATCCTAAACTGATCATATGATATGACAAGACAGTTAATATATTTTGCTCTAAGAGTTAAACTTCCAAAGTAGACAGAATTAGCCATTATAACAACAAAACATACAAAAACCTGACCCGGAGGCATAAGCATCCAGATGCAACTTTATAGCTGCCAGCACACGCCCAGCTTGCTACCGTAAGTGCCACACTTCCACTGACATTTAAACCTACTTCAACTTGCCTGCAACGGTAACATTACCTGTGTATGTTCCGGTTTACTTTGCAGCAATTTTCGTACTGCTGCCTGGAGGTGGTCAGAATAGTGACGGGTCAACTTTTCAATTTGATTGCTCGTGCTTTAACTCAGAATTATTCACATTGACACTATAACTCAAAAATATCCGTATTTTACACAATTTATTTATAAATCTTTAAATATTCTTCAACCGACTATTGAACCATTGATTCAACGACTCAAATCGTTCGGTGATCATTATTCGGTCTAATTGTGATAACCATGCTTTGCCGTCCTGACTAAACAAAACATGAGAAAAGGACTGCCCTTATGCCAGTTACAAAATGAAAATTAAACTACTCTTCTTAAAGTAACAGCCCCCATCGTTTGCTTGCTAAAACAGAGATGTAAATTTCTTCACAATGTAAATGTTCTGAACAATCCTATACAGCTCCCCGTCACAAAGGGGAAAAAGAACTCGCATATATATCCCCTCATCAGGAATTTCACTGTGGAACTTTGACACAGACACAGATGTGGAGAAAATGGTCCGGATTTAATAAGTTGTTCACCAGCCAAGAAAAGGGTATCTCTAACTTTGGTTCAATACCTTGAATACGGATGAGCTTGATTTCAGCACTACTGGAAATGTAGCAAGCCTCTCGGTGTTCATATGCATTTTGTCCCCGGTCTTCCACAACTTTATTACTGCTCACATCTTCTGAGGGAATTTTCTGCACATCCTCAAAATCTACTCCAGCTAATTTTGAGTCACTTAAGGATTCGTCAGAAAAAAATTCTGGCAGAAGATTTTTCATAGCATCATGTAATGTGAAGCATTTACCTGCACAGAAAGAGGAATACATGTAGCACAAAGATAGGCAGATTTCCAACATTATCAAAAATTATTGGTGTAGCTTAATACAAATCAAGTTGGAAATAAACGCTTCATATGAGCATCCAAATTCGCTTCTCCACATGCACAGCCTTCATTTCCAACTGGCCCATCATGCAGACTTTGACTTTGTAGGGAAGCATTAATCTCAAAAGAGGCATTGCTTACCTTCTTTGTGGATCTCAACAGGTCGATTTACGTAAGAGATCTTCTCCCAACTATCAACTTGAGAAATATCTTCCAAATCATCAAAATCCTCACTTAGGCCCCAGACATATAATCTAACTGGAACTCTGCCTAACAAGACCTCACCAACAATAATAAATAAATAAATATAAGAAAAGGACAAAAAAAGAATTATTCCAAAAATAACATCTAAACAGGTAAAGATGGAAATTGATCTAAACAGATAAAGATGGAACCTGCATCAATTTCCTGTGAGCAAATAAATAGAATGATATTGCAGCTATGTATACATATAAACTGGTTAAGATGCACATGCTCGCATTGATTAGTGTATGCATGACTAGGTACATGAGTTTAAAATGTGCAAGTTCACGAATCATGATTGTCAATGACTGTGATTTTCTATTTCAGATGGATATATATATATATATATATATTGAAAATTATATATTTCAGATGGATATATAAGAATAAGTTGCTCAACAATATGTGATAGAACTCAGTACGGTTCTGCCATTAAATGACAAGTTTAATCAAACATTATGGATGATTGAATCTGATTGGTTTTTTTTCTATTATTTTTGGTAAGACATAGCTACTTTGATTGGCTATTTATATTTGTTACTGGTAAGGGTTGGCAGACTGTCAACAAATTAATAATATTAAAAATAGAAACATATTAAAAATAGGGAGATAACTGACGCAGATAAAAAAGATGTCAAGAAAATTCAAGACTAAATTTCAAGAGACAAGAATATTTAAGGTCTTTATTTGATAAAGGCTGGTTTTCAACTTATTCAAACTACAATAGATGTGATTGACACTTGATTTAAGTATCTACAGGTTTGAGTTTAATATTATTTATTATTTATTTTCCTTCTATTTAAAGTGTTAAGAATATTCTGATAATCTTCAGATTAATGATTTACATTTTTCATATTGTTTGGCTACTAATTTGGAGACCGCTAAACATAATAATTTCAATGAAAAACTGTTAAAAAAGCTTATAAAACATACATAATCGATTCAGTCAATATTATTTAAAAATTAATTAACATTTGACTCTAAGCTACATTAATTAGTATAGTACCCAAATGACTAACGCTATTGCAGATAAGCTCTCTATCTTTGCTGTAAATAATAATTAAGGCCATAACTTCCTATTCCATTCTAATTGTAACCTTTAAATTTGAATATAGATGAAATGGAGTCCAATAGATAAAACATAACACTAACTGCTGTTTTATGGCATTGGTAGCAAGCAGGTGGCAATATTTACAAGAGGAAAAATGTCATGTGGAGAATTAAATAATTTAATTTTGTTTAGTTGGAATTTTAGAATGAAAAATTAGTGACATGGAAAACAAAACTACTAGTATTTTTTTTATCTTTCTTCCTCTGATCTGGAAAAGAATTTCGTTCTCTTTTCTTAATTTTTTTTACTACTTTTTCTACCCTTTTACCATTGGTGAGATTGGCAGCATAGAGTGAAAAATGGTTGGAGAAATTTACATCAACATAATCTCACCCTATGTTCAAGCTGAAATCAAAAAGAACAAAAAAAGTCCCACGTAACATAACTAGCCATCTTAAAACTTTTTCCTCCTCAAACCCATAATTTTGCAATTTCCAAACCAATAAACCTTTAAATAAAACAACAATCAGACATGGCTTGCTAATCAAATCTTTTGATAGAAGACAAAACTTGAGTAAGCTACCTAGAAATGGTTGATTTTGTAATACTGTCCAATGGTGAAAATAGCGCAAAATTGTGGACATATAGATCAATCTTGAAAGGATTTTGAAATTGGGTAAGCAATTATGGAGACCCCAAAAATGTCGTTAGAGAAATGAAGAGAGCAGAGGAAGCAAAGCAATAGATGGATGAATGAGAAAGGCATTTACAAAGAGAGAAGGTTGGTTCGACTTTGCACAAAAGGAAAGAGGAAGAAAGGGAAAATGGTTAACCAATTAGGATTTATGTTACATGGACTCACATTGCACAAATGTGTGTGAGAAATTTATATCCGCATTATCCCAACCTATGAAGAATTCAAGCTGAAATCAAAAAGAAAAAATTTCCCAAAAAAAAAAAAATCCTGAACTACAAATCTAGCCATACATGAAAAATGGTTTTTCCTCCCCAAACCCATAATTTTGCAATTCCAAACCAATAAACCTTCAAATAAAACAACAATCAGATATGGCTTGCTATCAAGTCATTTGATAAAGAGAACTCAAGTAAGCCACCAAGAAATCCTTGATTTTGTAATAGGACAAAATTGTGGACATAAAGCTCAATCTTGAAAAAATAATGAGCAATACTCAACTTCATATTGTGCCATCTAGAAAGAGAGATCACTTTAATATACATATAAACATTTATTTAATTTATCCTTCTTTTTCTTTTTTCCCTTTTTTTTCTCTCTTCCCTTTCCCATTGTCTACTGACCTGTCATGGCTGAATTTGAAAATCAACACTTCCAGGCACCAGATCTAGCCATCCTATGGCCAAGTGGGCTGCCAAAAGCTAGATCAAGGCCCAATAATATTGAACCTAGAAGCTGACACAAGAAACAGCTCCCAAATGCCAGGCCATGCATCATTTCCACTATCAAAAAACATCAAAACAAGTCTAGTACTAGATCAACAACTTTCGGTGCTGGAAATTGCACAAGAACCTAGATCCAACAAGGATTTTTGCACCAAAAATGGTTTCCAAGTGCAATTTTGGCACCTTTGTGGCCAAAAGGCACTCTGGCATTGAGTTAGTTGATCACATTCGACATCCTTCTCCAAGATCTCCACTAGATTTATTGCAAAAAGACACTGGAGGAAAGATGAGGAGAGAAAATCGAAAGAAAAATAAAGGATTTGAAAATATATATATATATATATATTATATCTAAAATTATTCAAATTAAAAAGTGAAATTTACTTTTTTCATTACTTCAAATTTCGTAAGATTAATTCTATTTCATTTTTAAAAAAACTATTCAATTATTATTTTTATGTATATTTATAAAAAAATTTCTTAAATTATTTTTTTAATGTATTAAAATAATATTAAGCTTAATTATCCAAACAAAAAAAAAATATTGATTTCTTTGCCACATCAATTCCACCTAAGCACCAAGTCAACATCAAATTTGTTATTGTCACGTATGCTCCACATAGATGCTAATGTTGCAAAGATAATGGAAACAAACAATTCACATTTAATTGAAAGTCCAATAGAAAAATAATACTACAGGGGCTCAATTAGACCCAATAAGAAAATAAGAGCTTATCTCGATTTTTGAAAGATTACAATGGTTTATTTATCAATTTAGCCCATACAAATTCTTTCACAAAGAAGATAAAGCATTTCAATAAGTCATTTCATATGGGTACTTTGCTCATTACCTGCAGTTTCATTTTCAGATTGATTTTGATTCACTTTGTTTAGTTGAATTTGTTCCAGCTCACCTACTTTGGCCCTGTGATGTAGGATGAAAAGAAGCTAGTTGAAGGATTAAACTATCCAAGACTTTATTTTATTTTTTGGGTTTAATGGTAAGTTTAACACGTATGTTGGCTATTTCAAATCATTTAGGCTTTATATTAATTGGAATTTTGCTTGTTTTCCAAGTATTAAGGCTTTAAGCGTTAGATATTGTGCTTTACCTCTTATTAGTGTTTAGCTTATAAATACCTATGTTACTTTAGTTTCTAGAAGGCTTGGATTGAGATATTAAGAGATCGGAATTTCTTGGCCAAAAGAAATTGGCATTTTGGATATTTGAGTATTTGGTTATTTATAATGGAGAATTTTAATTGAAATTTCAGATTATTCTCAAGTATTTTCATTTTTTGTACACCTAGCATGTCAATCACGCTTTAATTTGGATAAAATTTCTCCAGTTATCCCAAACCAAAGGAATTTACGTGTTCCACATTTATGGCTAATTCCTAAGTTGAGGACGTTACTTGCTAATTCCTAACTTGATTGAAATAAAAAATTTGCAAACCTGTCTTGACTTGTCCAGTAAAATCTGTTTCTCCAGAGCCTTGTTGAGATTTTGATGAACACAAACTTGTATACTCATCCTCAATTGTTGCAAGTTTAAGCTTAGACGAGACCCGTAGGTAGGCTTCCAAATTACCTGCCAAAACCAATCTAATGACTTTAAATTTTGGATGGTGTTTGGGATTGATGGGGGCGAATGAAAGAAATTATACCTAAAGAATTTAAACAGGCATTTTTCTATTGCTGGACAATCAACTTGAACATGTTCTGCAGGGCCAGAGGAAAATACAACATATCTCATCAACAACGCCTTAGAGCTTTCTTCTACGATTCAAACATATTACCCCTCCATCCCAAATTGAATGTCCAACTTTGTCTTTTGAGATATCCCAAAATCATACCATGCTTATCATGTGAACACCAAAACTCTTGCTTTTTCGATATTCCATGCACACACATGCATATAACTATATATATGAGGGGTCAAGTTATTTACACCCTTTTATAACTTTTTGTAGTAATAATATTTTAAAAAACCAACCGTTGAACTTGACAATATCTTGATGCTTATCATACACATAAATTTTAAAGTCAATCTGACATTTATATCACATCAATTGAGAATACTCTAGTTCACAATACATATTTAACAGTTGAAATTTTTATATTGTCAAAAAATAGCAGTGTTTTTAATTCGTTTGAAGTTTTATATGCAAGATCTATATATAGAGAGCATGAAATCTAACAGTTGGGTTAACAAAATAAAAATCATATAAGAAGTTATGACAAGCAGTAAAGCTCAACAAGTGCTACAAAAATTTTAAATATTAATAGATAAGTCATAACATTTTTCTATATCTCATGGAGTTTCATTCGGATGTAGGGAGTATGAACTCACATCTCTAGATAAGATAGGGTAATAATCCCAATCTGAAAGAGTTGAGAGATCCTAGAAAGCAACAAAACAAAACTAAAGAAGTTGAAGATTTGGGCCATAGTTTCAAGCAAATATAGAATTATTTAGTTATTCTTCTTAAGGTTATTATGCTATATTAAGTACTCCAATTTACATCTTTCAAAAAAATAGTACTCTTCTTTATGTAATCAAAGTCTATTCAGTTTCATTGGCAATATTTTTTAAGAAAAGAGTTTTTTTAAGGTATGATTTTTTTGTGACCTTCATACGTGTTTTTAAAAATAACTCTCTTTTTTAATTTTAACTGTTTTTAGCAAAGAGAAAAGATTTTTGGAGAAAATACCAATGAAACCTCTTCATATTCAAGCACATGTGTTGAAAAAAAATTGTTACACACCATGTTTAAGGTGTTTAACTCGAAGAGTTTATTTCCAAGTGAAATACACAAATAGAGACCAAGTTACACTCCATGTTGAAAAAAAAAATTGTTACATGCCATGTTTAAGTGCTTAACTCCAATAGTTTATGTCCTAACAAAATACAAACATAGAAATCAAGTTACACAGCATGTTGAAAACAAAAAGTTATTATACGCCACGCTGAAAAAAAGTTGTTACACGCCATGCTTGAGGTGTTTAACATTAGGAGTTTATGTCCTAGTGAAATACAAAAATAAAGACCAAATTCACATCATGTTGAAAAAAAAAATTGTTACACATCATGGTTAAAGTGTTTTAACTTTAAGAATTAATGTCCTAATGAAATATAAAGAGAAAGACCAAGTTACATGCTATGTTGTTACACGTTATATTTAAGATGTTTAACTCCAAGGGTTTAAACCCTAACAAAATACAAAGATAAAGATTAAATTACACATCATATTTAAACCATGCCATGTATAATAGAGTTGTTATACATCAAGTGCATTAGAGTTGTTACATTCAAACATGACATGTAGCAACTCTTAGTGTTCTAATTTACAAATTTTACTGATAACTTCAACCCATCAACTTTAGGTTTCTATGCATGTAAACTAATAAACTAAAAAACATACATGGATGTCATCTCTACTTTTTGATCTGTAGATCGACAGTGATATAGGAAGAAATAGATAAAGAAAAATGGCGACGAAGGTAAAACTAGAGACATGGATGCTGGGAGAAAGAAATTAAAAGCACAACGGATGAATCCAAGAGAGAAAAATCGGTTTAATTAGAGAAAGCTAGATGGCAAGAGAGAAATCGGTAGTGCAGCAGACAAATGCAGGAGAGAGAAATCGAGAGGAAAAATTGTGAAAAATGGTATAATTTGTCTAAAATGGCTTCAAGGATATTTTTGTCAAATCATGATTAAAATTGAGTAAAAATAATTAACTTTAGTTGGGGGGCTATTTTTGAAATGGCCTTCTAAGGTTGACCATTTCTCACAATTCTCTTTTTTTTACTCCCTTAGAAATGGGACTCCAGTTCAAGCCATCATAACACTTGAATGATAAAAAGACCTAAATATTACAAGATCAGCCTTGAATTTTTTTTTTTTTAAACTCCTTTCTCTTGCTCCTTGCATACAAAAACTGATCCCAAATCTGATTTTAACTTTTACAGAAAAGCCACAAGTCATAAATTGTTTATGTAGATCACATCTATGTGAAATTTGTGAATACTTATTTTCTTAATAAATCAGCATTCACAAAATTGAACATGTGTAAGCACATTCTATTAAAAAAATGTGACTTCAACAAAACATTAGTTTATATTGAGCATAAAGTGTGTGAAAATGATATTGCAGAAACAAGATTTGGAAATTGAATTGAGCAAGATTTGGATTAAACTCAATTATGCCTACTGTAATTACAAGGAATGCTTATATTAGATGAGCATTCATCAAATCCAAAAATGCCAAAAGAAAAGTCAAAGAAGAAGAAATTAACTAATAAGATTCCTTTTATAACCTAATTGCAAAACTACCCTTATTTCATTCTATTTATGCACAAAACTACTCTTAACTTACATTTACTCATTTTGCATAGGTATAAACATTAATAATCCTATTCAAGAGGAGCATGTATATCAGTAAAGCTCATCTTGCTCAATAAGGCATAAAACTGTGCAAGTTGAAGGGCTTTAGTCGACTTAGATAATGAGAGGATTTTGAAGACAAAATTCAAACTTAAGGACCTAGGGGTAATAAAATACTTCCTAGCCCTAGAGATTGCAAGATCAAGTAAAGGCATTTTTGTGTGTCAAAGAAAATACACACTTAATATATTGGAGTATAATTTCTTAAGGGCTAAACTAATCTCAACACCCTATTGATTATAATCACAAATTGGTTATGGATGATGACAATTCTATTTTTAACATGTTGCACCATAAAAAGGCAACTAGTTCATAAGTTAATTTATCTTATTTTTCCAGACCAAACATCACTTACTTGGTTCAAGTGTTGTCACAATTTATGGATAGACCAACTACCAACCATTTACAAGCTGCATACAAGGGTTTAAGGTAACTTAAAAATGCATCAAGACATGGCATATCACCACCATCCACATCTGCTCCACCTTTGACAATAGTCACAAATAGTGATTCACTAGGTTGTAAGGATACTAGAAGGCCTGTGATAGTGTTTTTAGTATTTTTGGGAGTCACTTGTTAGCTGGAAATCCAAGAAGCAAGCAATGTTCACAGGAAAAACTACAGAGTTTAGATTGTTAGGAGTGTTTTTGGGAGTCGCTTCATACAAACTCCAAATTATTACCTACAATTGATTCAAGAAACTTTCAATGGTGAATTCCTCAACCTCAAAAACAATTCTCTCACCTCTTGAAGATCCATTATCACCTTTCTTTCTATATCACTCTGATCATCATGGATCGGTGGTCATCAATCCACAAAATTAACCTCAACCAATTAAATTTCTTGGAGATGATCCTTTCAATTGGCTTTATCAATCAGGAACAAATTTGGTTTCATTGATTAAACCATATGAGAGCGAGAGTTAGTGATGATCTTTATGTGCCAAGGACAAGATACAAGAATTTAATTGTTGCTTGGCTGATGGAATCCATTTCCCCTCCCATAGCCTCGACAATTTTCTATATGAACACAGCATCATTGATTTGGGATACCTTGAAGAGGAGATTCTCCCAACCAGGTGATGCTAAGGTATGTAACTTGCGATTTTCATTGTACAATATATCACAAGGAACACGATCTGTAGGTGAATATTTCACAAAACTTAATGGGATCTAAGATCTAAGGAAAACTTAAAAATTTTAAACCTATGCTTCATTGTTGTTAGCTTTAAAATTATTATAGTTTTTGTTATGATAAAATGATCAAATTTGCTTGAACATTATTTAAGTGATCCTTGACATGTTCTTGAAATGATTTAACTCTCATACATTTGTTCTTACATAGTTACAAGCTTGACTCTTGATCTTATTCAACTATATATATAAGCTTGTATAACTTAATTGTATGAGTGCTTATGATTTCTCATTCATTAAAGTCTAATTTAAAGTTTAAAGGAAAATCTTGAAATTGTTTTTTGTACACATATTAAGGGGGAGTAATCCCTCACCTGCACATAGATATAAAATATAACAAAATATAAACATATACATTATACTTTTAAGTTAATAGTGTTTTGACATCATCAAAAATAAGAGAGAGAATATTGACTTTAGGTATTTTTCTATGATAACAAAATATTCCCATTCATTTGTGTCTAATTATATTATAATGCGTGTAAGAGAAAACTTAAATTCTTTAACTTATTTGTTGTTTGAAAGCAAGTCAAAAAGCTTACTCAATTACAAGATCAGTTAATCGATTAAACATGAAAAGAAGATAGAGCTCAATGGAGACAGATTAGTTTTAATTGGTTAACAAGAAGCCTTAATTAGTTAAGACAGCATTGGCGCTACATCAAAACTAAACAAAAAAATTTGAATCTGTTGCCACGAGGCTTAACTAATTAAGAGGGTGCTGGATTCAAAACTAGAAGCATGTTAACTGATTAACCAATGGAGTTAATTGGTCAAAGTTCAGACTGGATACACCAAAAAGTGCCAAAAATCAAATTCAAAGTGATGTTGACTATTAACGGGCGTCAAATAAAGAGTTTCAAGTTCAAAGAATTTTTAATTGGTTGAAACCCATTTTAATCAATTAAGGTTGAAAGGATAAAAGCTTCAATTAGTTAAAAGAGAAGACTAACTTATTAGAAGAAGGCTGGTGAAAAATGATAGTTGAAGAAGTCTGAAAACAAAAACTTTTTAATCAGTTAAAGTCAACTCTAACTAGTTAATGCTATGAAGTAGACTACCAAACAAAGAGGCTTTAACTAGTTAACACTCACCTTTAATTGGTTAAAGAGCTAAAAGAAGCCGCTAGAAGACAAAACAACGGCTATTTCTGACCTAAAACTGTTTCCAACAACTAGAAACTATCCTCCAAGTATTAAAGAGTTTCCAATGGTCAAAAATCAGGAGAGAATCATCTGAGAGCAAGATTAGAGCCAAGAAGGGATAGAAAGTTCTCTTTTCAAATGTGCTTCACTCCTTTGTAAAAATGTTTTGAACTTAACTTTGTACATCTTAGATCGGCTAGGTGATCAATTGTACTTTATCTTTTCTCTTTCTTGTTTACTTAGAGGCACTCTAAGGGGTTTACTATGTTTAGAAAAGCTTAAGGATTGTTATAAGGGTTTAGAGCTTGAGTTAGAAGCTTACCTTGTAAAAGCTTGGTGAAAGCTATTAATTCCACTAGTTTAAGGAAGTTAGGTTTCAACCCTTGATTAGAAAGATCAAGGTAATGAATATAGGTTAGGTGGACCAAACCACTAAATATTATGTTTTGTCCACTTCTCTTAACTTTCTCTTTACTTGGTGCCTTTTAACCTTAACAAGTTTTAAACCTTCCATTTCAAAATCATTCAAAAGGTTTTTTAAGTGCTATTTACCCTCCTCTAGCACTCCTTTTGGGACCAACAATTGCTACTATGGCAGGTGCAATCAAGATTACTTCCAAGAATACATTAAACAATACCAAAAGGATATTGTCTTCAAATTCTTGAATGGTCTTAATGATCGTTATGCTGCCTTGAGGTCACAAATTGTGAAGATCATGCCCTTTCCTTCACTTGATGAGGCTTATAATCTGATCTTGAGAGAAGAATCACAAAGGAATTTGTGTATCTACAATCATAGCCTCTCATTCAAGCTTTTGCCATGGCTAGCTATGTTGATGGCAAGAAAAGGAATAAAAATGATTTGATATGTAACCATTATGGGAAAACTAGACATACAGAGGATAAGAGTTATAGGCTGACGTGTCCTCCCTGATTTCAAGTTTACGAAAGGGAAAAATAATCCTAGAAAGCCTATTACCCCTGTGAACAGTGTTGTTAATACCTCACAAGTAGATCAGGATGAGGATACCACTATCAGTGCCATGTCTCAGTTATCATTAACTAGGAATCAAGTTCAAAAACTCATGGAAATTATTAATGAGCATGGGACAAGTTTTAATGAAAACCCTTCTGCATCAAATACTCAGCAACCAAAAGCTTCACTGGTCAACTCTCCAATTGTTGGCATGATTTCTAATTCCATTAGTTGTAACGATCAAAAGGCAATGTTAAACAGCTCAACAAAAATGATTGCTTCCGTTATAAATCACATTCTTGGATCATTGATATTGATGCATCAGACCTTATAACCTGCTCTTTGAAATTCTTAACATATGCAAAACCAGTTCATGATGTCTTTGCTCAAATGCCTAACAAAGCTAAGGCCTTATTAAAACACATAGGGATAGTTAAAGTGACACCTTCCCTAACCTTGGAAAATGTGCCACCCTTCATTTAAATTCAATTTAGTGTCTATTAGTAAACTTACAAAAAATAAACAAAATTGTATCATTTTTACTGATTCCCACCGTATAATTGAAGAAATTAGCTCATGGATTGTGATTAGTCTTGCTAAGATGGAAGCTGGAATTTATTTCTTACAAAGAAAGCTGGAATCTAGTTCTCTTGATCAACAAAGAAAGCTGGAATCCAGTAATCGAGTCCAAATTGTTCCTGAACAAACTATGAAATATGTTGACCAAATTGCCTCCAAGCAGTTTTTACCAATTTCTTCAAAACTTTCTTCTAACTTTTGTAATTTTGCTATTAAGAACTTTGATGTTTGGCATAAAGTTAGGACATGCCCCCTTAGCTATAATAAAACAGATTCCAAGGATTTATCCTTCTGTTTCTGTTATAGAAAACAATGAATGCCAGATATGCCCGTTGGAAAAACAAATTCACACTCAAAGAACAGTTAAGTCATTTGGATTGTTACACATGGACATAAGGGAACCATATTCAATTTCTACTATCCATGGTCAACAATATTTTTAACTACAGTTGATGACTACTCAAGATTTACATGGATTTATTTGATGAAGGCACAATCAGATGTCAAGACTATAGTTCCTTCTGTAATCTGATAAAAACACAATTCAACTATAATATCAATCTGATCAGGTCAAACAATGGACCTAAATTCAATTTGATCAATTTTACACTTCTAAAGGTATAATACATCAATTATCATGCGTAGGTGTTGTAGAAAGGAAAAATCAACACTTGCAGCAGCTAGGTCTTTAATGTTCCAAGCTTCATTGCCATTAAAATTTTGGGGGATTCTGTTCCAGTAACAGCACATACCATAAACAGAATACCTTCTATTCTGAAAAATTGGCCTCATTATGAATTACTGTTCAGCAAGGAACCCAAGTATTCTCATTTTAAAGGTTTTGGTTCTCTATATTTTGCTTCCACACTTTCTCATCAACGATAGAAATTTGATCATAGGCTAGAAAATGAATTATGATTGGCTATCCTGTAAGAGTCAAAGGTTACAAGTGGTATGATTTGAACTCTCACACTATTTTTGTCTCAAGGGATGTCATTTTTTTTTAACATATATTTCCCCTTCAAGGCCATGATTCCGCACATAACTCATCAGATTACATTCAATTCTTTTCTTCGACAAATCCTACTTCTGATATTTCTTTTTCTCCTCACAAATTTAATTCCACTTGTCCTATTCCTCATGACAGTTTGTTACATTCATCTTGTGATCCTTCATCATCTACTCAACATGTTAATAATTCTTCTATGCCTTTTGATCATGATACTCAAGAAAAACAATCTACTAACAATGTTATACATTTTGACACAGACAAAACTACCCTTAACTTACATTTACTCATTTTGCACACATATAAACATTAATAAAGTGTAACCTTTGACACTATGCCTAACATAACAATAGGCAAGGTAGGTGCATTTATGGGCTAAAGTATTCGCCAATTCAAAAGCCTAACGCTGACCAAATGTTTGCACACATTCAATTTTTGAAAGCCGCAATTTGAGTAAAGTGTTAGAACTAGAATGCACACAGTCAATCCCCTAGGACCCCGCTTCCATGATATTATAATTGAGTGATGACCTTGGTAGGAAGTCAATTGAGCATGAATTACTCAACAGGCCAGAACAAGCTACTTAAAGTAATCAAAGTAGTAAACTGCTCTTTCACATCCTAAAAGAAAGATATCTTCTCAGGATAACACTAAGATGTTCTGTGCTATGTCAACATTTTTCTTCAACCATAGACTAAAAATGGGCACACCAAATTACATTACAACTGATGTAATTGAAAATGCTTATAAAAAAGGATAAAGTAACCAAAAACAAAACACTAGTCTTGATCCTTATCAATGAGCGTACATACCATTCATGACAGAATGCCAAAGCTCCAGCTGATCAGACTGAGACATGTTCATCACATTCTTGCAATTTCCATTGATTATATATGCCGCCTGTAGCCATAACAAAACTTTTACAGATAAGCAGAGAGGAAACATTTTGTAATTATCCAATTTAATTGAAACTTCGTTTCAAATAAGGACAGAGCTGAGAGGACAACATAAACGCAACGAACTGGCTATGCATATGCAAGAACTCCAACATAGACATATGAAAGAAAAAGAAAAGTGTATTGAAAGACACCAGCATCCAGCATTTAAGGTATTTTCATTTACATTCTCTTGTATTTTTTAGGATTAAAAAAATAATAGAAAAGAAAGAGCCAAAGCTATAGAATCTCAAAATCTGATAGAATGAGCTCTTCCAGAATCCTATCAGCTGGTTAGCTAGCAAAACATTACAGCATTAAATGACAAGAACACATGAACTGTAAGTTGTAATAGTATTTAGAAATAACTTTTTTATGTGTATACTGAAAAGATGCCCCTTGAGCTACTCATTTCTTATCTCCAACAATAAAAACACTTCAAATCAGGTAAACTTCTTCCTGTCCAACCTGTGTCATCTATGAACATATAATTTCCAGAGGACAATACGTGCCCAAAAGGCCATGAATTATCAACAACAAGAATTTGCAGTCTACTAGGGCTCTGAGGTTAACAGAGGAGGATATCAATTTTTTGACTAAGAGTCCGTTGGGAAGCACACCAGTGTAGAGGGGAAAGGCTCCCCACGCATTGGCCCCCACAAATGGCACTGGGCCCTATTTGGGCAGTCCCTCCCCACCACACTAGCCGCGCTCCCAAACAGCCCCTAAATGGTTCATTCTACTTATTGAAATAACTAAGGGAGAAACCACACAGTTTCAACAATCCTTGTATATGGGTACAGGCTACAATACCAAAAACAACTAGAGACCTTGATTGGATATGTTAAAATCCTCTAACAGCATGGAAAGACCATAGTTAGCTTTGAAACAACCTTCCAAGACATCAAGGGTTTTAAATGGAAATTAAGGAAAAAATGATGACAAAGCACCAAGGCTAGAAGTTTATACAACGGTTCTTTTTTTCTCCTCCCTATTTTGATTAGCAATAAATTTCAAATTAAAGATGAAGACAGAATAATCAACAAAAAGCAAAAGAGAAAAAGTACATATTGAAAGAGAGCAAAGAAGGTGTACAGGTTTAGTGGAGGGGAGCAGTTAAAACAACTGTTAATAGCTTTAACCTTCCCTCATTGACATTCATAATATAAGCACTGCATAAACTAATGGGGCAATAAGATTGCAAAACAGTTCATATTGTTGAAAGCACAAGAAAAACTATTTTGAATTAGTTATTTAGTATAGTAAAAGTTCCTGCTGGAAATGTCGAACAAATCCAATGCCAACACAGTTTAGCAAATCAAAGTAAACCTCAAATGTAAAAGCTTCTGCATATGCACCAGCCTTAGTACCAAGTAGAATTGTTAACCTTTTAATAATTAGTAACAGTTAATTGCTTAAGAAACCAGTAAATCAATTTCAAGACATCTGTACTAACCTCTTTTAATGAGTTTATAAAGCTCCACTTCACAGAATCTTCACCATCACAGGGTATCAATACATTTCCAGGATATCCTCTAAAATGCACCTGCAGGCAGATCAAAAGTTGCCTTCAACCTGATAAATAATGGGATAAAAGTAAGAAGCAACTAAACGTAAAAACCTTTATCCAGCAAAAATTCTAATTTAATAAATCCTACCCTTTTTAATTTCATTGAGTTGGGGTAGGGTGGTTCAAATCATCTATCAATGTAATTTAATAATCCTTCTATTTAGTAGAAACTATGATACCACATTGTAGTTGAATAAAACACTTGCAGGCACCTAGAATTTAAATGACATTAATAGTAATAGTAAGGGGGATATACAGTGATATTCCAAGGCCTTTCAGGCTCCGCACATAGAAGATCAAAAAGAACTCCAGTTGGTATGTACCTGCAACAAAAGAAGCCTCCGTTGGGTGGTTGGTTTTGGCTTCTGGTTTGAAAAAAGGATGTTCATAATATTTTTGAAAAATTAAACCCTTAAAAACAAAAATCTTAGCAAGTTTTGAGAAATCAGAACCATTTGAGAGGAAGGCCCCTGTATTCAAACCAAATGGTATCAACACCAGGAGGAAGTGTGCTACGAAAATGAGGCTTTATCAAAGGAACTAACAGCGGCAGATAGCCGATTCGAGGAGCTAAGATCTGACAGAAATTCCATGATTAGAATTAGCAAAGCAGCGGGCAATAATCAACAATAATAGAAATATATATATAAAGTAGCGGACCAGGGCAGGAGGAGGAGGAGGCAGGGTGGTCACTTGGGATTCGTGTAGATGGATCTGAAGAGGAATCGCCCCCTCCCATACATACTTCTGCGCTTCCATTCTCTTCTGTAGCGCCTTTCGCATTAAGCCGACCCAATGGGATATGTTGGATTATTTAATTTTAAACAATTAACGATTTCCCGAACCAATCCGAAGCAAAACAACGTCGTTTTGAAAGCTCAGCAGGCGTGTTTGGTTAAACCTCTCGTGAAGAAAACGACGAGAGCATCACTCAGCTGACACGGATTCCTCTTCCTTTTAAGATACGCAAATCGCTATAAATCCGCGAATCAATCAAATACTGTGAATTTTCCAAGATAGTGTTGAGATAAGAAATGTAAATCCCTTCAAATCCACAAGTAAATAATCTCTTAGAAGATTTTCATTAAAGGTTCGGAAGGAGAAAGTCAAACAAGAGAAAGGAAAAAGAGGGAGGAGGAGGAGGCCGCTGTCAAACTAAAGTGGCGTCGACGTCGAATAAAAGGAGGAGGAGATCGCCGGCAAGACCAGGCCGGTGGGACAGCAGACTGAGTGAGAGAAGATTTCGTGAAAATGAAAAGAGAGAGAGAGAGAGAGAGAGGGAAAGGAAGAAAAGAAAGAGGGCGCCAGCGGCAATGCCACCGGCGCCGGCGGCGTTTAGAAGAGGATGCGTAAAAGGTAATGGCGTTAGATTGAGTCCCGTGTATTTCACTTGCATTGTAACTCTCTTAAGCAATATAAACATTTGGTTGTAAACTTATCCGATACAACTTAATTAAATCAGAATTGAAACATGGACGACCTCTAGAGGAATTAATGGCTGGACAACAAGTAAACTATCCATTTGTAAATCAATCTTCCAATAGCCAATAGCCAATAGCCAATAGCCTATGCTAAACACAGCCCTTTAGAGTGTAGTCACATTTTTTGCTTCTACTAAAACTTTTTTTGAAGCTTGAAACAAAATTCACCAACTCTATGTTAATAAATTTATAGCAAGAATGATGGATCTAATAGAGAAGTTCATAAAGTTAGAGAGATCTGTATCTATCTCAAAATACTTCTAAAATCTAAGAAGTTTAGTTGACAAACTTGCATTTGTTAGTTTTCTTGTTAATGAAAGAGAACTTATCATTCATGCTTTGAATGGCATTGCCTCAATTTCAAAAAAAAAATTACAACTGACATTAAGGCTTGAGAATTTTTATCTTTTTTGAAGAACTACCAAATAAGTTTACAACCTACGAAGATGTCCATAAAAAGCAAGCATCATTTTTTGAAATGATCATTCCTTTTGCTCATTTTGTTGCCAAGGCACCATCTTTCTCTCTTGCAAGATCAAAGAAACCTCAACCTAGTTAGTATAATAGGTTTAACTCTTGAACTACTAGTTTTACCAAGAATTCTACTCATGCAACTCTCATAATTGTCTATCAGTTTTGTGAGAAAATAAGTTATTTAGCTAAAAATTGCTTTAAGATCAAGGAATAGAATGCTCAGCAAACCATTAATAAAGCCTTTTGCACTTGCACTTTTAAGACTCAATATGGACTTTTTTACATGGCATCAAAACCTTAAACACCTTTCATCTTAGGCCTTGCAACTAATAATCAATTGTTTTTTCTGACCTTATTTTGCTATCAAGACATTTTCTTCCTATGATGCATGTTCCCGCAATAAAATTCACAAACTTCCTTTCAATAACTCTACCTTAGTCAACAAAGTACCCCTTGATATCATATACACTAATGTTTGGGACTTGTAAGAATTGTAACGACCGCTGCTCAATCGCTACCGGTGTCCAAGTCTCGCTGGAGAACCTGCCAAGTCTCGAACAAGCATTTCTTAAAACATTAGTCGTTACCTCATATTCATACCATCAATCTATAAAATCATTTCAATCCATGACACGCTTTGTAGAGAGAATTGAACAATGATCTTTATAAATTGAATAAACCTTTATTTCATATAATCGTAAAAGATAATACATAAAAAATTATCATCTCTAAATGTACACTTGCATTGACACAATTGTCTAATTTCATAATAATTTACATTATGATGACTCGACCTCTAACAGCGGAGCGACTCAGAATAAAATGCTACGAGATGCCTTTACCTATCCGCAGTGGACTGAAATTGCCAATGAGTGCACACTAGGATGATCACTATCTACAAAAGGGAAATATGGAGGGGTGATTCTCACAGACTCAGTGATCATCGGCTCCATGAGCAAGACGTAGATGGGAAACAAGCATAAGGTAGATAAGTTGAATATTAAGACTGGAATATCAAATCACATTCTTAAAATACCAAATCATAAGTAAGATATTTGTGCTTTGTTAAAATAATGACGTAAATCATAATACAATATTTCACTTGGCAAAACGATGCCGAAACAATGTTACAAAACCGAGTTCAAATATCAAAAACATTGCTTGCCATACAAATATGAATAATAATATAAAATATGCACGCTTCCAAAATATGTGGCATGTAAATAAATCAAGTGTACCGCCACGTAAAACATCTCAAGTTCGTCAAATAAGCACTGAAAGCTTTTATTCAAACCAAGGGAGCTGCAAAGAAATCTCAACTCTCCACCATGCAAAAGAGTATGCATCCAAAACTCACAAGGCTCTCGAGTAGGTAAGAATCGTAATCACCCGTGGACCCATTTTCACGTAATAACATTCGAGAGCTTTGCTCCACCGGATCCCACAATCATGGCAGTTTCAACGATGTTGGCCAACATCGAAAAATCAAGCAGTCGCAATTGCAAATATCACTGGTGGCCTAGCCATAAATAACAACCCGTGGCCTTGCCACGTAAATCACAAACAATGGCCCTAGCCACGTCTAACATCATGTCAGCGACCCAAGGGTTCTCTAGCTAAAGCTCATTTATGCACAAGGGTCACACTTAACCGAAGTAACAGCTGGCCTACTCTTGACTCTCTCAATTTATCAAAATCATTTTAAAATCAAATCAAGTTTTACAAGGCTTTTCCTTTTAAATCCTTTCAAATCAAGGTTTGATAACCCCTTTGAAATTACTTTTCAAACTAAATGGCATAGTGTAAATATTTATATATAAATTAGGCTAAAATCGAAGCTCAAAACTTGCATTCAAAATCGTTTA